GTGGAGGTAATTGGCAGCAGGCGGTCTCTCAAGTACCCAGGTCCAATACCATGAAGGGCTTTATAAGTGACGACTAGCACCTTTGTTCTCCGTGGAACAAAGTCTGACACTCTGTTTTCAAGTCTTCTTTATAGGTGGTCCTCATTTAGCCACAGTAATTGGGACTGAAATTTTTATTGCCAAGCAATGTAATCATAAAGAATAAGGTCACATGACCATGCTGCTTAGTAACAACAGTTCTGGAAGTATCTTTTATCATTGTTAAATAAGGACCATGTGCGACATTAAATGAGAACCTCGTATTAACTGCAAGCTCTGACTTCCTGCCAGCTTCCCCACTAATTTTGCCAAAGGAAAGCTGGCAGGAAATATCACAATCATATGAGCACAGGGACATGTAATGGTCGGCAATCTGGGGCAGTTACTCATGTGATGGCAGAGATACTATGACAGGTGTAACTTCAAACATCATCCCCAAGTACTGTTCCTTCAGCAGTACTGCAAGTTGGAACAGTCATTGAATGAATAGCCATTAATAGAGGACCGTCTATATTTTATTTTTTATAAAACAGAAATGTTAATTTCTATAAGGGAAGGGAATGGCTTTTTTAAAATAAAATTTGCTGGTAACCAAAATACGTGTGTGGATTGAGAATGATGATGTCGTATCACTTTCATAGTTAGGGTTCTTGTATCAATTATACACACAATGCAATCAAGATTAAAGGTTAGCCCCAAATCTAAGACGATTACAGTTACAATCGTCACACTAAGAAAAATGAAGTTCATTTATTCTTTGTAATTTAAGAATGTCACAAATTTTATTCTTCGAATGAAATGCTGTTTCATCTAACAATGTCAACTGGATAAATAAAATAAGCAGAATAATTGCTTTATAACTTATCACCTTGTTTTCTCCTGCAAACTTGAGTTTTTCCTGTAATTTCATAGTGGTCTGGCGTATCCGTTTAATTTCTTCCTGCTGTTTAAGAATAAGATGCCTTTCTTTCCGTGCTGCCTTATAAGCTTCCTGAAGGCGCTTAATTTCTGCCTTTAAGAAAGCATTACAAAAAATAAGCTGTTATTTTCTCATCAGTTTACCTCTTAAATATCCTTGGTTTTTCATTTTTATTCTATGCTGTGCCACACTTTACAATTTTCTGCTTGTAGCTTTTGTCCAAAGTTTATTATAAGTTTATCCCAATCCCCAAAGAACTCTCCACTCTCTCCTACAACTTTATATACTGTCATTTTATTAATTTTGCTTTTAAATTTGTATGTAATCTTTTTCTAAAAATGTAAATATTAGCTCGCCTTTCCCATACCAATTTATCTAATACACTATTTAGTACTTACTATGAATTTGGTTTCTCCCTCTTTATTTTTTTTCCTGAATTCTGTGTATCACTATCTTTGTTGTTATTTTTAAAACAGATTTCCTAGGGCAAGTTATAGCAATAGAAATTCCTTAATAAATTTCTTAAAACTAAAATTAAAATTAAGAATCCTCAGCTTTCAATTTTCTTTACTGTCTGTTCTTCAATTTCCTTCAGATCCAAAGCTTGTGATCAGGGACCACATCTACTGAAGCCTATTTGCCCCCAAATAGTGTTTATTGGTAGCAGTTTGCTTCAGGAAATTTCCCTTGCAAACGGCAATTTTCCTAGTCTATGATTTTGTTTAAAAGGTTAATTAAGAATTTTCCTTCACATCCCTGTGGTAGTTATGATTAGTGTGGGGGTGGGAAATAGTATTCCCTATACTTTCTCTGTATTTGAGTATTACCGTATTTTTCGGAGTATAAGACGCACTGGAGTATAAAACGCACCAAGGTTTTGAAGANGCATATAAATAAAATGAACCTTGAACCTTGAACCTTGAGTTGGGGACTAAGACTCTTATGAAGTAAAAGTGATGGTTACCATCCATCCATATCTAATTTAAATTAAAGTACCAGTATAATAAGGTTATATCAGATTAAGACATAGTCAAGTGTATTAGACCCTTGTACGCCCTAACACATGAGCTCCCTGTTAAAGTCACTACCTGCTACCTTATTTAGTACACCTAACAAACTACCCATTATGGACATTAGCTGTGATGGTTGTAAAACAGATCATCATATGACTGGACTCATTTTATAATCCTTTTCAATTGTAAAGTGAATGATGTTCTCATTAAGCAAATCCATTGTTTGCTGTGGATTGATTTTTGCCAAAAACTGGAAGTAAATGCTGAGTTTGGGAAAAATATCGCAAATCACGGCCACATGATTATAGGATGCTACAAATAGCCAAAAATGTGGGCTGATTGCTGAGTGCCTGAAATGCTCTCATGTGATTGTGTGGTATGGGGGCTGTTGGGGAATTGGAACCAGGTCATAAGTACCTTCCGTGTGGTCCATTTTAACTTCAGTCAGTTGCTAAGTGACTGTAAATTGAGATCTACATGTAAAATACTATTCACACACTGATTCTAAACAGCAGGGTTTCTGTCTCAAACAGAAAGGTTTGCTCATGCGATGATGGTGGTAAGTTGAAAATGATTTCTGAGATTGAATATCGGAGCACAGCTAAAATTTCTGCAGATTCTAAGCTCTCCATCAGGAGCTCTCATAATTCAAGGGATTTGGTTGAGGCTAATAAATACTGAAATATTCTAATGAACCATAGCACAATCTGAAATCAACCTCATCTCCAATGCTTTTTCAAAATTCACATAACTTACAACCAGTGAAAGAAAAAATGTGGACAATTGAGGATACAATTTAGTGTCAAATTATACTACAAAATATAAGTGAGCACTTCTGCTACTTTGCTGGCTGGATTTGGATGGTTCAGTGTAATCAGATAACTAAACAGTTCAACTGGAACCCAATATTTCCAACTCTAAAGGTTAAGTATAGAGATAACAAAAACAAGACAAAGACAAGTATGTTTTATATATGATATTTTTCACATACTAGCATCCTCCTAGCTTTCCATGTCTGCTGGGTAAGAAATTCCATGTTCTATATATCTTCAAGTTAGACATGGGAGAGGGATCCAAGAACTTTCACATAATTATCACTATTTTTCATTCTTTTTCAAAGAGATACAATTCCTTGCCAATTTTGTCTGATGATAATGATTTAAGACTTCATCTAGTTATGTGTAGCAAAGGTGAATACGAGCATTCTTTTCTTGGCTATTTAGAACCTCTTTTTCTATATACGAATTTGTCTACAAATAAACTATTAGGCTGAAGTCCCTGACCAAATTTATGGGGTCTATTATGGGACCAGAAATATTCTTGCAAAAAACTCCAAACCAAACAACCTTTGCAATGATGTGCATAATGTCAGATGTTTCTCTTTGTAATATTATTTTATTGCAATAGGTGTGATTAGAGTTGGAGCAGGGATCAAAAAGATATCTATCAGCACATAGACACTTCACCTTGGTTCATTTAGGATTTGAGAGGTAAAGCAACTTATAAAATATAGAGCTATATCTTACTGTTCCTCAGTAATCACTCCCAAATCAAAGTGATCCCAATCCTTACTCTCTTCGTATATTTACTGAGAAGTGCTCCAAACTTCCTTCCTTTCCTTTCCAAATACAAATAAAAATCTTAAGTTTTCTTATTGGTTAGTCACTACAATATTTATTTCTACTACAAGTACAAGATATGTTTCTGCAGATTGTAGAAAAATGCTTAAAACATTCCAGTAGTTTGTGAAGTTTACCACTGTTTTTTTTTAAATGAAACAAGTGCCTCAGATTCTCCATTCACTAAAAATAAAAAGTCTGAATGCCAGAGGTGTATGTTATCAAGTCTCCAAAACTGCTGAGGTAATGGCCAATTAGCTATCAAGAACAAAGGAAATAGGTTCAAAATCTATGTAGTTCTAGTGTTTTCTTCCACATTAGCTAACAATTTTCCCTCCATTCTCTTCCCTATTTCTTACATCATACAAAACTCATGAAAACACTCCAAGTTATTTCAGGGAAGATGCAATTACTGAAAGCAACAACAAAATAGTCTGAATTCTGACTTGAACTCACTTCTATGGATTTGAATTCTTATTTAGAAAAGAAGAATTTCTGCTGTTATGGCCTTATACAAAACTATTTTTTTTAAAAAAACAATTTGAAAGAGATAAAAGATGCAATTGAATAATTTTGTGCTGCATGTAATTAAAAGTATTCAAAACAGATTTTCCTAACAAATAGGACACTAAAAGAGAATTGAATTTCAAATCCTTTGCCTAAAGTTCAATTTTCCAAAACTGTTTCGTGCATGATCATAGAATCATACAATCATAAGAGTGGAAGAAACTTTGGAAGTCTTCACATCCAACCCCCTGCCCAGGACAGAAGGAGTCTATATATACTAATTACGGACAAATGGTTGTCTAACCTTTTCTTGAAAACTTCCAGTGATGTAGCATCTACAAGGAGGCGAATTGTTACTGTCAAGAAATTCCTCCTTATTTCCAGGTTGAACCTCCCTCTGACAAGTATCCACCCATTACTGCAACGTGCTCTACATGGGGCAGCCCTTGAAGAGTATTCGGCGACTTCAGCTTGTCCAGAATG